TTCCAGAACTCAGGATTGCATCGCGTAAACCCCTGACATATTAGGTTTGCAAAGTGAGATGTTCAGAAAGGCCCAGATTTTATAGAGATGAACTTGGCACTCTGTAATCCCACTACCTGAAAATTAAAAGAACTTGAATTTCTAGGTATTTAGACTATTCTGAAAATCTCATTTAAATTCTGTAGAAACTAAGCAACTTCAATCCCAAAAGTTACATTTATCAATCTGTTCTGACTGAATTTAAGATTTATCCTATTTCTTACTGACATGTGGGAGCCATCCATAAAGGACCACCAGTACAGACATTTGAATGATAACAGCTTGCTTTGATTTTTTCTCCAAAATGAAAATGACTATCCTTCCTTTGTCCAAAATTCATGAGAATTCTATAAGCTGAGAACAAATATAAGCAAGTAAAAAAATCTCTCCAGATGAAATGTTTGCAATTTAAATAAAATTAGAAGAAAGAGTATGACCCTTATAATTATTCAGAATTATTCATTGTATAAATTATGTAATATATAATAGATATTCAGAATTTGCTGTATATCCTTGTCAAAATCTTTGTCAAAATAAAATTTGATTTTTCTTATGATGGTGAATGCAAAGGGTGAAGTCATACCTAATTCAAATGACAGCACTTCAGTTAATGAAATTATCTCAGTTTACAGAAGGAGAGGTCTGTGGTGTTTGCCTGATAGGTCTGTGAGAGAAAACTCTCTGTTCAAAACATTGAACTCTAATGACAGAGTGTGCAGAATGACCCACATTACCTTCTAGCTAACTACAACTTTTAGAAAGCTTTAGAAGTTTATCATCACTGCATGGTAATGATGACTTTTCTCAGACACAAAGAATCATGGCTTTTATCAATGGTTCATGCCAAAACCAAGTCTTAAAAGAAATCAGCCCAAAGCAGGTGCACTGAGCTGTCAGACCTTGAAATTTGTTTTGAAACCAACCACCTGTTAGTGTAATTGTGTAGCTGTTCTTCCTGGCTTATGGGATTTCAGTTCAGCTGTTGTTCTCATGCTAACACTTATTTCCTCTAGGAATCAGTCTGTCCATTTCCACCAACCTACAAACTCCTGTGTGACTGTCTTCATAGGCTGAGCCAATGGATATATGCAGAACGTCTGAAGGAGCACCCTTGACCAATAACAAACTTTGTTTACAAAATATTTTACAATTGCTGTAAGAAAATGGCTCAAAAATAGCAGTTAACATCCTCTGTGACACATTTAATCATTTAGATGACTCGCCTCTGCTTCTTGTTTGTTTCAGACAGCAACAAAGAATACTTCTAATGGGCAATCTCAAAGATCAGACTTAGTGCTGGTGCCTGACTCACATCTACTGATAACAGAGCACTGTTCTTGCTGCTGAAACCAAGTCTGAGCCAGGATTCCCACTACAACTTTCTGTTTCTAAAGGTTTATAATTTCACCCGAAGTTACCTCTGGCTTAGAGGTTAGCAAGGATATGGAATACCTGGTTGACAAAATCTAGAAGAAAAAAATCTGACTACATGTGAGATAAAAGTGTGAAAATTATCAGAAGGACAATGGCTTCAGATGGTTTCTGTAAACGAGAAATGTCATGTAAGAAAGAACAATATCCTTGCGCTTAAGGGCCCAGCCAGAACTGCAGTCCCTTTATGCTCCACTTTGCTGTTTTCAGTACCCTTTGGACATCAGCCACCCAGGAAAAAGAACTGGACACTTGGGTGAGAACAATAGCTGAGCTGTTCATGAAAAATCTCCTGTGCCAACCAGTCCCATTCATCTGGCAGCTCCACACTGCCCTCCAGGGAGGGCCATCATCAAATTTACCGTGTTTCCCTCAGTTTCCCACTGGCAGGAGAGAACTCCTTGGAAGTAAACACATAAAGCAAGTAAGAGAAATACAGATGACATAAACATGAAAATGTATATATTTCATTACATAAAAAGGAGTAAAAAATAAATTATGAAGATTAAATATTCCGTGGGTTCTTATTTATGCACAGATAACTTGTTATCCAAATGACTTTTTCAAGTGCTATATTAAAGGAAACAATGAACAATTTATGGATAATAGCTCATAAATATAGGCAGCACTGTATGTCCAATGACACAGATATTTCATCATGTAAGACATGGGTTTATGCATGATATGAAATGTGAGCTTTTTGCAGCTATTTCAAAGAATTTTGGGACACAAAAACCGTTGACAAGATATCTCCTGTTTAAATGTATTGCCCATCTCTGGTTGCAGAGCATGTTGTCTTGTGTTTATCAGAAGGAACACTTCCAAAATGCTTTGAGAAACTCAATTGTTATCATTGTCTGAACATAAAAAGACTACACCTTTGTATAGAGTTCTGTCAAAAGAAATCCTGCTGCTTATCATAAGCACGTACTTCCCCAAAGTTCCTGTTTTTTTAGAAGTTTTATTAATTGCAAATGTTGTTTACTAGAGGAAAACCGTGACTGAAGCTCTAAAACAAAGAGAATAGTTGCAACTTTAATCCTTTCAATAAGCCTTTGTTTCCCATTGACTAAAAACTTCCTAAAGGAAGTAGAGCTGCGAAAATCCAGGAAGGAATTAGATTTGCCAAATTCTGTTCCTACTTGGATCTAGAGGCAAAGGCTTTGTTATTCATTGTACAAATGTTTTAGTAAAAAGAGAATGATCAATTACAAAAATACACTTTTGCCAAGGTTGAAATTATTAATAGAAGAGCTTTCCCTATCACAGAAGGCACACTATGAACTTATATAACCTACAAAATAAACAATATATTAATATTTTTGCTGCTCGATTTTTTCCTTCAGTGGCATGTTTTTTTCCTTTTTGTTATCTGAGGCAAATTTGGATACTGACCTGACAATCATACAAGAACCTAAATAAATAAACAAATATGGAAAGGAAAAAATCAAAAGCAACCTCTTAATTAAATTAAGCATGCTTTGCAGCATCCAAAATAGGAGAAATCTTCAAAATTCATTTCCATGACAACAAGTAATTGCACACAAAAAAGTGTGCTATTGTGGCAATAAAGCTGAATTCCCTGAAGACCTTTCAGAGACACAACCAATTTGTTTTGTATTTTTTCCCCACATGCTCTTTTTATCTCTGTACCACTTCATGCTCTCTAGGTTTTAACTTGCCAAGCAAGTAGAGACTAGGTAAATATGTTCCGATTTATTCCATAGGGCAGAGGTTGTTTTAATATATTCTCCTAAAATAATTTAAAGGTGATTCCTATCTCCTTCCCAAAAGTGCATATTGCAACTTTTGATTTCCTGGCCAATAGTATACTGGAAGATTAAAGACTATTTGAGCCACCATATTTGTAAGATGCTGTGTAAAGACAGGTTATGGAAAGTACTGACTACTTTCAGCTTCTTGTGGTTTCAGTGCAAATGTTGTTTAGCATATTTAAGTAAAATCAGCTCAGTATTTTAATAAATGTCAAAGGTTTGGCAAAGCTTAGCTGGACCACTGAGCTGGAAAGGCTCCAGTTTCAGCAGCCATCAGCCGTGGTTTAACATCACATCCACCTCTGTGTGCTGCTGGCTCCAGCATCCTCACAGGCTGGCCCTGAGCTTCAGCCTGAGCAGCAGCAAATGCCTCTGGATTCCTAATGAGACAAATTTATGGCTCTGCTATGGAAATGCCTACATACCATTTGTAACTTGAAACGAATATAGCTAAATCTTGGAATAGCTTTGGTTTAGGATATTACAGATGATAATGCCTAAGTTTCAAGGATGTACTGGATATATTCACAATGTCTTAAACTTTCCTCTGTGAATTTCCTTCATATAATAGAGATATGTGGGATACATCTCCAAAGTCACTGAAAAGCATTTTGATAAGATTAAATTGTAGCAGGAGAAAGAAGTGAAGCAAAGAGAAAAAAAAAAAAAAAAAATTTTCTGCATTCCACTTTTCATCACAACAGATGACAACCCCCTCCCTCCCTTGAAGATGGGAAAGCCAATTTTAATTTAAACTACAAACTGTTGACCAGGCCTCAGCTTGGCTTTGCAATTCACTATATGCCTGAGGGATAAATTATTTAGCATTAGCACATGGTATGTCATGTCTTGTTACTTAAGTGGAGGATGGCCTCCATCCAGCTGCACCCCCGGGGCCCCCCGATTGGCTGTGGGTGATGTCATTTCCATGTGCTAATCCTGGGCCAGGCCCTGGGGGACAGCGCTGGCCGCTCCCCCCCAGCCCCTCCGCCTCCCACCCGGGCCTGCTCCGGCTCTGCTCGCACTTATCGCGCCCAGGTTCACTGCAGGTACTGCCCCCATCGCACGGGTGTCAGTGGCAGCGCAGTGAAACAGAAGGTGCGGCAGATGAGCTGCATCACCTGCACGTGATGTTTTGTGTTCTTCAAAGAGGCCTTGTAATCAATTTAGTGAGATGGAAAATAAATTTTTGCTGCAGACCCAAGCTACCTGGAGAATTTTGAGGGGTTTATTTAACCACATACTACATTATTCTTAATTTAATTTCTCTGTTTTTCTATTTTCAGTGTATTACAGATTTTTGCTCAAAACACCTATTTCCACGCTGCAAGACAAAGGGACCCTGGACAAATGACCCGAGAGCATGAACTCTGCAAAATGCTTCTTCTGGAAGCTTGACAATGGAATAATCAGCCACAGTGCCCTTTAAAAGGCTGTATTTTGTTTTCAGTTAACACCCTCATGATACTAAAAGAGTTTTTCCTTCAGAACCACCTTCAGGTTATTTGCCCCAGAGGAAATACTCATGCTAGTCACCACTGGAAGGCTCCCAGCACAGAAATAAGGGTTACAGGGCTGGTTTCTTTTGATTGAATTTTACAGCAAAGTGGGTGAAATGCCAAGAATTACAGAGCACTGTGTCGTGCAGGTGATACCGTCTGCTCCGTGGTGAGGCACAAGATTTGCATCTGTCTGTTAGTTCAGGCTGAGCTGTGGCTCTACGTGACAGGTAACAAGAGACACAACGGACAGAAAGAAAGCCACATGCTTTGTTACTGTTACATTAGCATTTAAGCACAATACACAGTACCCCAGCAGCAGTACTTCGTTTCTTGTGGTGAGGAATGAAAACTGACAGTGATTTGCCTTCTCTGTCACTGAATCTTAATTCTTTTCAACAGTGCATGAGAAGAAAGGATTTTATGAAAGCTGTGCGGTCTTATGGTGAAGTGAATTCTCTGAGACATAGGCAGAAGGGGAACTTTGCAAGGGGATTCCCACGAGAAGAGATGTTGAACCAGTGCAGTTCAAAGCGCTGCAAAATAAACAACAGTAGGACAGGAAATGAAGAACTCTAATCGATACCACAAAAGGGATTAGTTAGTCAAATGTGAAAATTCAAAACTAGAATTTAAATCAGGACCGCTAACTCTTTCTCGCCCTGCACAGAATAAACAATCTATAGATTTGCCAGCTGCATCCAGCTTTGATTTCTGTCATTTCAAAGCTGGCACCTGCAGCCAGCCCTGGCTCAGAACCGTAGCATTGCTTTAAGCACCCAGCTGGAGGGAAACACCTGCATTTGCACTATTGCTCATCCCCTCAAAACTACCAGACCTACTTGTAGCTAACTAATAAACAGCTAATTATAAACAGGGTGACTGGGCAAGGGCTCAGAACTGCTACCAGAGTAAGCACTGGGAAGCACTGGAAGTCTGCTGGCCTAATAGAACAAAAGTGCATTTAGATTTGGCTCCACAGTCAGCTGGCCACCTCACAGCCCAACACGTTTATTTATATGCATATAAGTATCTTCAAGGCGAATGCCAAGAGAATGGTGCCAGACTCTTCTCAGTGGTGCCCAGCAGGAGAAGCACTGGCCATGAACTAAAAACCAAAGTTTCACCTCAACACAAGGAAGAACTTTATGTTGAGTATGGCAAAACTCTGTTACAGCTGCCGAGGGAGGGTGTGGAGTCTCCCTCTCTGGAGACATTCCAAATCCACCTGGACACGTTCCAGGTAACCCTGCATTGGCAGAGGAGGGGGTTGAACTGACTGAATGATATCCAGAGGTCCCTTTCAACCCTAACAATTCTGTGATTCTTTGATGTTACCTCTGGCCACAATGTGATGGACTGTGGAGCGGGGCGAGCGAGAACCAAGCCCACCCTGCCTTAGCCCTGCCCAGCCCATCACAGCTTCGCAGCGTTCTCCTCAGCATCACCAGCGCGGGGCCGGAGGGGCCGAGACTCGCCAGAATGGCGGTGGTTCCCTGAAGATACAGCTCCTGAGGGGAGCACACAGCCCCCGACACCGCCCCAGCTCCGCGGCAGGGCGGCAAAGGGGCGCCGCCCTCAGCCCGCCCTGAGGGCACCGGGGGGGAGCGCGCGGTGCGGGAGGCGGGCAGC